GGGGGGGGGGGGGGGGGGGGGGGGGGGGGGGGGGGGGGGGGGGGGGGGGGGGGGGGGGGGGGGGGGGGGGGGGGGGGGGGGGGGGGGGGGGGGGGGGGGGGGTGGGTGGAGGAGGTGACCTGAATGAAAGTGTGCGCCTTGCAGTCATCAACTTCCAGAATTGATGCCATATTTCCACAGCGATAACAATAATTAGGTGCACTAAATATAGTCACAACTTTTTGTTCCTGTGATAAGCAATCTACAATTTTTAAATTGCTCACACCACCAAGACAAAAGATCAATGCAGGCATCAAACGGAAAAAGCTTCTTACATGACTCCAGTTATATCCTTCCATCACTAGCTGATGAGCTCTCGCAATCAACTTTAAATTGTTACTATGGTTAAACTGCTCAGATATGTCCTGAAGAAACAACAAAAAGAGCTTATAAAACTCCATGGTGAAAATATGAAGGGTTAGATGTTAAATGGCGGGGGGTTGCCTAGGAAAATTACCTGACCAAAGGTATATCCTGCGCCTCTGGGAGAAATTCCCCAACCACATCGATCATCTGGGTCCGACCATAAGAGATCGCACATGGGACCTTCATGAGGAACTTCTTGAACACGATCAAAATTCCGTATGTTGTCAAGAGTTTCAATGGATGGAGACAAACCACCATGCAGACAGAATATTTCTGATTCGACCTATAAAGGCCAGACAAATAAGCATCAAAAGCAGTTTCAGAAACAAAAATTAACAATCATAATGGAAAAAGGAGGAATAGAACCCCACAATGTGAGTACACATAATGGTGCTTAAGTTATACTGACCAGGGCTGTCAGCGGAAAATAGTCAAACAGGTCAGTAAAAATCTTCCAAACATTAGCATTGCCGTACCTGCAAATGAGATAACATATTAAAACTTTCAGATCAGGCTTGGGTTGCATTTTCAAATTATACTTCATACTTCATGTTGATGTGATACAGTCTCGGTTCACAAAAAATGTTCTCTACCTTGTGGATTACATACACAACTTCCATCTTCCGACAAATAACTCAACTTCAAATATGAGCAACACATAGTAAATAATCTTTTCAAGATGAGATATTTCAAGAAACATGTCAAAATGTATCAAAGCAACCCTTTTATTGTAGCTGAATAAGCATCCCAAAAAGCGCATCACAAAGTAGTACTAAATACAAGGAACGCAGATACAAAAAAAAGGATCTGATATGACAAGAAAGATGGAGTCGAGCCATAGAAGGATGTTGAAAAATAAAATTCCTACTGAAGATAAGCCAGAAAAGACATACTTTCTTAAACATTCATCATAGAACCCATACACTTGTGTTATCTGCAAAAAGAGAACATAAACCACAATTAGAGATGTCATCTGTCAAAAGGATTAAAATTTGGGGCCATGGTACCCAGTTAATATCCAGGTAGACATTAACAGCAGAAACGACAATGATAAACATTTACCTGACGACTTTCATGATTTCCTCTAAGAATTGTAATGCGTTGAGGATATCGCACTTTAAGGGCCACTAAAAGCTGCAAAATGACTCATATTAGGACATGAGTTGAGTTCCTACTACGAAAATATTATCATAGAATGGCTAATTAATGCTAACAGAACATGGTGGAAGGAGTCGTGCAGCAGTAAATTATTGGTCAAGCTCACATTTGCATTCCAGGATAGTGGTCTTTTAATTACTTTGTTAAATAAAGTATAACGTTTGTGGATCAAGTAAAATTTTAATCTCTAATGCTCATGGATGAGTAACTATATTCAGCTCATGAACCTTATAAATAAAGACCACAACTTTCAAATGGTTCCGCAAGTCTATAGTCCCAGAGTAGTAGTAGACAGAAGAGATAAAGAAGTAAGAATGCTATAGAAAGAGGCTTTCAACATGAGAAAAGCCAAACGTGTCATTATTTTTAATGATAATCTAGAATCTGAAGATACTTGTATCACAAATACTGATGATTCTGATCAATCAGCGGAAGTTGCTTTGATATGGTATTCCCATCTATTGGATTTTTGTCAAGACATAATCAAAGGCTCTATGCATGCTCAAAGACATAAAACAGTTATTTGCAAAATGCTGGAAGCAAATGCATGTCCTCATCTCATCTTTTTTTTTTTACAAACAAGAAAAATATGTTTTTTTTTTCTTTTGATATTCCCGAAATAATGAAAATGCTTTTTAGACCTTGAATATGGAAAAACAAAGAATTGACTATTTTGCATAATACACAGGAAAAAGACAAGGGAAAATGAACAAAAGAAAAGAAAAAGAGGTGATTATAAGAAGAGACGAGGAAGAGGAACAAGCGTGTCTTTGTAGAAGCCTAGGATAACGTACTACTTGGTCAAGCAACAAGAGGTTGTTTGTTAGTAACTCACTCACTTCTTAGAAAATATATGGTCATACCCTCATTGATAATAGCTAAAACTCTAATCCTTATACTATTATCTGAAGGTGCTGAATGTTCCGACGATTTGAAAATTTTGAACAAAGAAATGCATATAAAATGCACCTATAGTGGTGTTCAATTATCAGAAAAAGAATTTCCAAAAAATTGGTTATCAGAGGGTGTGTTATGATCTTCTAAATCATAAATACTGCACATAAAAACAAATTCTCAGGGCCTACAATAATAGTTCAGTTTTTGCAATGTCTCTAGATTTTCAAGCCAAACAATTTCTGCTAGTGCCACATAATATACGAAGTGTATGCTCTAGTACATTTACATAAAACAAAAACATACCGTAACAGTTTCAACTGAGTAGTAGCCACGATCAACATAATCTCCCATAAACAAGTAATTTGTATCTGGACACTGCCCCAACAGAGATATTTTGAAGGAATAAAGAGCTGTATGATATTGGTATAATGTAAAAAAGAAAGAAGAGACTACTCTAAACTACTGAAGCCCAACTATAGTATAAAACTTCAGGAAGGACCTCGAAATTAAATATAAGCATGTGATAAGCATAGAAAATTTGACTACATTTATATGTTAGCTAGCGATCATGACCTTGATTTAATAAATGTATGTTATTGTGTATATCAAGGATACAGGACATATATCTAGCATTACAGAAGCGCATTAAAATATTTGCCTTTTTTTTTTTTTTTTTGCTTCAATATATATCCATCACCTAATATACTTCATTATGAACTCGGTAATAATGCTTGAAGTTCGAGAAGC